AAATAGATTTTGTAGCCCATTAAATTAATAGTATACTAAAATGCAAGTTTCAAGTTGCTTATAAATCGCGTTGATGTGGCATTTTTTTCGCAGAGTGTCTTCCATACAAAGTATGTTCACCATTTTTTATACCGAAGACACGTCAGAAAAAAATTGGTAAAAATCAACGCGATTTTTTAGCAACTTGAAACTTGCATTTAAGTATACTAAAATTTAATGGGCTACAAAACCTATTTAAAAAGTTTCAAATTTATTTAATTTTCCTGAGTTTTGCACAAAGTTTTGAAAGTTTATTTTTACATTTGGGTTGTAATATGAGCTATGTTTTTATAAAAAGTTTGCGAAAAGAACTTAGAATAAAAAACCTTGCATACATTGTGAAAAGTTCCCTGTGCCAATACTTTTGTCCCTATGTGTATAAAAGTTAAAAGTACTTAAATTAAAAAATCCATTTTATCAATTGCGTGAGTTCTTCGCCGTTTTTTCTTGCAGTGATCTCGTTAGTTTTCGTGTTGCTATCCTGTCTTTAGCATGCACAAAATGCTTTTGAAGCACACCGTTCATTTCCTGGTCTGTGCTTTTGCATTTTAGATGGCAAATATCTAACATGACAAATATTAATTTTGTTTTGTCAAAATATGGGTACATTAAATATGGGTACGCACAGAATTATTGGCCCAGGGAATTTTCCACAATGCATGAAAAATTTATAAAAAAAATTGCGCTGATTTTTGGAAATTTTTTCTCGCAGTTTCTTCCATGTTCGAATTTTTTTTTGTATGGAAAAAACTGCGTGATAAAATGGCAAAAATCACCGGGCTTTTTTGGAAATTTCAAACTTACATTTTTTTTACCTACTAAAATTGAATGGGTTAAATAATTGCATACTTAGAATCTTTCTAGAGATATTAACTAAATTTTTAAAAGTTGAAAATATGTATGCAATTTTATTGACTTCTTCTGAGTTTTGCGCAAAATTTAGAGATTTTGTTTTCCTACTTTTTGTTGTGGCATGAACTATATTTTTATAAAAATTTAGTGGAAAAACTTAAATTAAAAAATGTAGATGTATTGTGCAACGATTTCCCGTCATCCCTTGCCAATTTTTGTTTGGAGACAACCGGTTTCGGCGTTATGTCATCTACAGTGTCTTCTTCGAATACTTTTCGGACGGCGGTTCTTAGAAATTTTGCGGGTCCGTCACCGCCTGTTTTTGCTATGAATTCTTTCTGAAATTTTTTATAAAAACACTTGTATAACCAAATTCATATAAGAAGTTAAATAAAAAACATAGAAATTGCTTAAGAGTGCCTTCATTGTGTTGTATCTCGCCATCCAATTTTTCTAAATCAGCAATGACGGCCAAAGGAAGTTTTTGTAAATCTTCAAATTCATCGATTGATGTGATGTCATTGTGGTGCCTTCTGTTTTCTAGCTTAACAGCTATGACCTCCTCTGTTAGTTTGGTAAATGCTCGTTTATTTCCATCCTTCAATTCTTTAATTTCTTCTTTTAAGCTCGAAATTTCAGACTTAAAAGATAATCCATGTAAATCTAGTACAAGAGTTTGAAGGCTGTTGGTTTCAGAAGCGTAAACATTTTGCACTGAAAAACAAATCGTTTTGTTTACATGGAAAATAATGGGTCCCAGTTTTAACTTACAAGTTGTTAAATTATTGGATGGGGTGTATTGAAAATCTCCAGAAGAGATGAAATTATTCTGGACATTGCTAAGTTGGGGTGTGAAGAAATAACTGTTGTCAAAAGAATCTCGTAAACATATTACTTTTTTATTTATTTGATTTGTAGAAAATTAAATTTTATTATCAAAAGCGATGTCAGCCGCCGAATACATATCAAAATTACTTGATTCGATTGGTTGCAAAAAGGGAGCCGTCAGATTTGTTACTTCTATTCCGATTAAAACAGGACCACTATGACATTTTTTTATTTCTATTATCTTAACAATTTTATCCTGAACCAGGCAAAAGTTGTCAGGGCCGCGTAGAGAAAAGAAGAAATCATTCGTATTTAGACTTAAAATTTTTCCGCTTTTCATTTTCCGAAAAGATGTAGGCGGTTTATGTTCTTCTTCCTTTTTTATAAGATAGCTGATTTCAACTTGCCTCTTATAAATTTGTGCGGCAACACTTCCTCCCTTCCTAACTTTGCGTTTAATTTTTTGTAGATGGTTCTCAAATTTGAAGGCGCTTACTCCATCTAAAGATCCATGAAGTTTAGAATCTTCATGAATATGCAACAAGGCGTGAAAATTATATGTAAGAAAGCACAAACCATATAATGTTGGAATCTCGTTCACAAATGATTTTAAGAGCTTTTCAGCACAGGAGTTGTTACTCTTGCAGTCATTTTTATCCAAAAGTATCCTCAAGGCCAAAGATAATTTTAAAAAGTGAGTATATCTTTCTGTACTTAAAATTTTTTTCAGTATAAAAGGCCCCGTATAAAGTAAGAATTGTCTTAATTCTGTTGCCTTCCATCTATCAAGATCTTTCAAGCTTCGAGGCTTTCTTTTAAACTCTCTCGTTATGTTAGTTCTATTAAAATTTAACTCTCTTGAAATTGATTCAATTTTCCAGGAAACTAAAGAGAAATCTTCACCTTTTTTTTTAACCCATGCATTTAATAAAGTTCGCATTACGCCTAAACAAACAACGTGCATATAATCTAAGGACCACTGTGATACAATATTTATGTTTAGCATTTCTAATGGTGAAGTAGACTGCTTTAAATGATGTTCCGGCTGAAGGCGATTTCTGAAGGAATCATTGCTTCTAACCATATACTCGCATCCTGGTGGAAAAATAAGCCGATGGTTAACCATTTGCCCTTTTTGTGTACACCGTCCACAAGAAAAGTATCCACTATGCCCCTTAGTTCCCAATATAAAGGATTTTGCAGGTGCATCCATTACAAAACAGCGCACGATAATATGGAAAACTTTACTTGTAAAAACAAGCCCCTCTTGCATAAGAACATTCAGTTCTGAAATAAATTCTTGTAAAAAATCGTTTGCCCATTCTGGCTTTGAAGTACTTTCATATACGCCAACAAGAAACACATAACTAGTTCCCACAACACTGGCTAGTATTGGCCAAACTTGTTTTGAGCTGCTTTTAAACAGTGGCAGGCCATCAATACCGAAATCTAATATTAAATCCGGTAATCTCCAACCATTTCCCACCAAGAAATCAGTTAAACCGTTTTTTAGTCCGTAGTGAACATACGTGCCTTCCCCAACTTTTCTCTCAATCACAGAACAAGGCGTTTTTAAAATGGTCCTGCCATCCTTTGGGACTTTAATATTGCATTTTCGCAACAACAATAAAAGTGCATTAAGTGCAATAAAACTTATTTGAAATTGGGTAGCCCATTTAGCCAGTTCTTCGCACAAATCAAATTCGTTTGAATCACTTTCAGTATCAGATGAACAGATATCACTTATATCGCTTAAATTTACATGATGGAAACTACTTTCAATGCTTGGTTGGATTGGTTCTATTTGCTCCTGCACATTTTCCTCTGAATTAACTCTTTTATTTTGGGGACATTAGTTTTTCGGCTCCTTTTTTAGCCAATCTTTTTAATTGTTTAGCTGACATTATTATTATTTTTTTTATTAAATGTTCTTACTTATGTAGGCACTGCAATTTTTTACACCACGCACTTCACACCACGACTTCACTGATATTTTTAAAATTTGACATAGGCTTAAAAAATTATGCTGTTAGAAGCAAAGGCAGCTGAAACAAATGTTTGTTTAAACAAGCAAAGAAAAAGCACATTTCAATCCCCAGAATGATCAATTTGTGATTACCCATTTTTTTAAATATATTTTCAATAAATCATTTTTCAAGCGTAAGCGTGAGTAATTTTCGAGTCTTTTTTTAATCGCGGAAGCGATTAATCAGTTTTTAATCATCAGAAGTGATCGAAGAAGACTCATAAAGGTGATTTTTATTAAAGTAATCTTCCAAATGCTATGTGGGTAATTATCAGCATATTTACGCGTTTCATTCACGTTCCTTATACACATAGCATGTATGCACACACAGATCTTTACATACAAACAATTCGACAAATGAACAAATAGCACGTGTGAATCGGATTTGTTTATTATACACATAAATAAATTCATATATTTTCTCTTTGTTCGAGCATCCATACATACTAGACCTCTGCATGAGTCGATTCTAATTTCAAGCCAAAGAGAGTACAGTAGAATTGTGTATTCTATTTCAAGTTCAAAACCCCAAGTTTCACACCCAGCGTTTTGAATTTTGTATTTTATGAATATTCATTGCGTTTCAAGTTTTCTAACTTCATATAGAATTATATAAATGAATGAATGAAAAACCTTAAATTTATTCAGACTCAAATTTATTACAATTTATGTGATATTTTGTGTTTAGCATCGAAAACGAAAAAAAGAATGGAAAGTGTAGAGGAAAATGTAAGTACGTTTAGCTTAAAATGATGTACGTATGTATGTATAGTGAATCTACATTTCGGTCCATTTAGTAATGATAATGGTATATGTTTATAATAACAGAACTCCGCAAGCGCATTATTGCAAAGTGCCGGCATCAAGAAGAAGCTCCACAGTGGAGAATACACACTGAGTCAAAAAAGAGGTCGTAGCAAAGTTTGGGAGATATTTTCCAATGTTAAAAATAACTCTGGCGAAGAGTTGCCCGATATTGTAGCATGTAAAAGATGCTACAGCATTTACAAATTTACGGGGTACACGTCAAATATTGTAAGACATAAATGCTATATTATAAATACCCATACTGTGGATCAGGAGATTCAAAGTTATTCAAACCTAAATGTTACGTTCACTGCTGACTTCGACTGCCTTATATGGTGGTATCTGAACAAAAATTTTTTTCCAATTTTATACAAAACGAGCTGCAAAATTTTCTGTATACCCGCAAGTAGCGCGGCTTCTGAAAGAGCCTTTTCAGATGCAAGAAATTTAATAACCGAAAAACGTTGTACTATTGCTCTTAACCCAGACAATGTAAATAAAATAATGCTTCTGCATTCAAATATAGAAATATAAATATACTATATG